ATATATATATATATATATATATATATATATATATAACTAAAATGATGGGTGGATGTGAATGATGATAACTAACCGTGTAGTGCCACTTGGATTAATTGTGTGCCTCGGTGGCATTTTACTTGCCGAGTCATCACGTGAGGTGGGGCCGAATGGCTTAGTCATGACGTGAAGGTTTATGGTCGTGTCGTGTGGCTGAAGTTAGTAGGTGAGTCCAAAACTTATCCTAGGTGAGAAATTCCCACGACAATTGAAAGGTGTAAGATTTGAATTAATTATGCTTGAACATAGATTAACAGGCTAAGCATGGATTAACAGGCTAAGCATGGATTAAGTTAATTAAGCAAGGGTTAACGATAATTACTTAGGCATAAGTTAATGATGGACGGTGTACCAATGTGAACGCGTTGCTATAGAGGGATGGCATGTACATTAGACAACTTAAACTGATTATACTCCATTTCGGTTGAAACTCGACTTCGAAAATTAATTCGAATAATCTGGATTACCAATAATTAATCCCGACTAATAATATCCGTTTATAAACATAAACGTTTTGGGAATTAATTATCGAAATGAACTTGGTTAAAATAAACCGAATAGATTTTCGACTTAAAGCCGAACTTATTTCTGAATAACTTATTAACTGGGCTCGAAACTCATCTTTGACGATTTATCGAATATTCTCAAATTCGATTAATACGTCAACACTGGAATAATTAATCCCAAATATACTAATGTCCATTTATTAAAATAAACGGACTGAGATTAATTACTAGAATTAACTCGGTTAATAAATAAAATTAACCGAATATATTTTCGACTTAACGTTAAACTTGGAGCTTAACTAGCTGAATTACTTAGGCTCGAATACTAATACTGAGCATTTATTAATAAAAGCTAGCTTATACTAGAAAGCTAGTATTTTCCTTTATTAAAAAGAATGGGGCGTTACAGTTAGAGTCTGATCTATGTCTGTTAAGGTATGAATGGCTTCCTGGGCAATCACAACATTATCTAAGAGCTGTCTATTCCTGATAAAAGCAGCTAGGTTCTCAATTATGCAAACAAGGAGGCAGTGTTTAAGTCTGTAGGCTAAAATCTTAGCAATGATTTTGTAGGCAACACAACAAAGGCTTATAGGCCGGTAGTGCTCAGTTCTGGTAGGGTTGAAAGTTTTTGGAATAAGTGTGATCATGGTGTGGTTCCAGGATTTAGACATCAAACCATAATTAAAGAAACTATGGATGTCATATCAAAGATCAGATTTTATAATATCCCAGTGCTTTTGAAAGAAATAGGGGACATACCATCGTGGCCTGGGGCATTGTTGGGGTTCATGCTGTCCAAAATTCTTTTGATCTCCTCCTCACACACATTTGACAGAAGTCTTGACTTCATCTCAGAGGTGATGGAAGGTTGGATGCAGTCTAGAATAAGATCATCAACTTCCAAGTCAGAGTGCTCAGATATGATGAGATTTCTGTAAAAGTCTGAAATGCAGGTTTCTATCTCAGCAAGTGAAGAGTAGATGGAGTTGTCATGCTTCAACAGTCTAATTATGGAATTTGTTTTCCTTCTCCGAGTGGTGAATGCATGGAAGAAACGAGTGTTTTTATCGCCCTCTTTCAGCCACTGAATCTTGGATTTTTGGCTCCAGTAGGCTTCTTCTGATTTGTGGATGAAGTCTATTTTCTGCTTAAGAGTGTTCCATAGGCCCAAATCTCTGCTATCTCCCTGAGATCTCAATTCCTCCATTCTCCGGCAAGCTTCTTTCAGAGCAATCACGTTTTCTGAATTAAGTTTCCCACACCATTTGAGGAGAGCTACTCTGGTTGCAGCAATCTTTCTCTGAAACTTGATCATCGGGTGGCCTTGTTAAGACAACTCCAAGCGTCCACGATAGTGTCTTTGATGCCCTCTCTCAGAAGCCAACGCTTGTTGAAACTGAATCTTCTTATTTTGCTCAGAGAATGTCCCCGCATCAAGAACAATGAGGCTATGATCAGAGGAGCTCAGATAGATATTTGTGGCAGAGGTATTTGGGAATGAGGTTAACCAACCTAGAGAAGAAAAGTACTTATCTAGCTTTTCTTCCACACAGTCAGGGCTCATTCTACAATTCCACCAAGTATATAGATGGTCTGTAAGGGAAATTTCATGCATGGTCATGTTGGCTATGAAATGCTTGAAATTCCAGAAACTCGATTATGACCTCCTGATCCCTCCTAGCTTCTCTTCATTGCTACAAATATCGTTCCAATCACCTCTTATGATCCATCTGTCTCCCCATTTTGATTTGGCTTGCTCTAGATATCGTCGTTGAGTCTCTCTTTCTCTGTGATCTGTGCTTAGATAGGCAAAGATGACCCAGGCTGAGTTGCAGTCAGAAGTATGGTTAAACTCCACTTCAATGCATAAGCTGTTTGACATAGACTGGAAGATAGTGACATATTTATCCCAGAGGAGCAGGAGATTGCCTTTAAATCACAACTTCCTATATACAGTGAGAACAAAAGTGTTGTTTTTCCTAGTCTCACTAACAAAGAAGAACTAGGGGAGGTGGAGCTTTAAAGAATCCTTAAGTTGGGAAACTGTAGAGGGTCCTCCCAGACCTCTACAATTCCGCACCATCAACTTCATTTGGGGGTTGGGAGCCACTCCAGGCTGGCTGCCTCCACCTGCTTGTCTTCTAGAGAGTTGTCCGATTGTTTTTGTTTTTTCTTACTGAGGGATGTGCTTTTAAAATCGTGGTCATTGCTTTCTGGGACCTCTGGCTGGAGTCTGCCCCTTTTGTGCCCTTGAGAGGCTCTAAAATTGACTGGGCTGAGCTCTTTTGGTGGTCTATTTTTTACTTTGCTTTCCAATGTTGGTAGATGGTGTATTAGTCAGGGTTGGCACTAGCTCCATAGCAATGGGTTTATTGAGGATGCGCATATGTGTAGATAACTTTGGGTTTTGAAAGTCTATGTCTTGGTTTGTGAGCAGGAGGATAGGATTAATGGGGCAGGATTCTAGGTGAGGGTGAGGAGGGTTAACTGTTAAGGGGATTTGTTTAGAGGTAGAATGAGGAGGAAAGGGTGGGTGACTGGACTCAGGAATGCTCATCAGAAGGGTTTTGGGGAGTATGTTGGGGAGATCACTTTTAGATGTCTTAGAGGCACTACCAGAGGTTGGGGTTGGTTTTGGGGAGTATGTTGGGGAGATCACTTTTAGATGTCTTAGAGGCACTACCAGAGGTTGGGGTTGGATTGGAAGAGTTTATTTGTGAGGGTTTTGGGGAGTATGTTAGGGAGATCACTTTTAGATGTCTTAGAGGCACTATCAGAGGTTGGGGTTGGGTTGGAAGAGTTTATTTGTGAGGGTGATCGAGAAGGGGATGGGATGACATCTTGAGGGGAGGGGGATGGGCCTGTCCTCTAAGAAAGGCTATCTGCTGCTTTGAGCCAATCGCCGAATTGACCCTCTTGAAGCTTGCCTTCTGCAATGTCTTTGGCTCTGATGGAGCATGATTTGTCGAAGTGGCCAATCATGCCACAGTAGTGACATAGGTTGATGAGCTTTTCATACTTGAACGACACTCTTTGAATTTTGTCCCTGAGTTGAATATTGGCATATCTTAAAATTGGTTCTTCACCAGAAGTTTTTGAGACATCTACTTGCATTGGGGCCCGAATTTTCGATGATGTCATCCTTCACTTGCTTGAATGCTTTACCGATTTTGAGCCCTACTTCAGCACAGAGCCAGTTGAGACTTGAGAGGAACTTCTTCCACTTGCACCTTGATGTCCATTTCCTTAAAGCAGGCATGTTCTGAGCATATGTCTTCAACCCACTCACGGAGGATCAGATATTGGTTTTCGAACGACCAATTTCTCCCAGAAGCCACTTTCCTTTTATCCGCCAGATCGTCAAAGAGAAATTGGACAAAATTTGTATCCAGTTCGCGAATAGAGAGGGAACCTCTGAGATTCCATATCCGGCTCAAGGATCTCTTAAGCCCAAAAATACCCGCTTTCCTATCACCTGTAATCTTTCCAAAAAGGCTTTTGTTACATTCTTCTTCGCTAAATCAGATGTCGTCTTCCAGGAGGGGGATAATATTGGCTTCTTTAGATGACAGGGAGAAGGATCTGAGCGATTGTTCCAGGTTGTCCATGAGTGCGAGAAGGAGATTAGGAATTCTGGGACGCTGAACTGCACAGGGAGAAAAAAGAGGGGAAAGGGGAGAAAACAGCAAAGATCAAAGAGGAAAACGAAGGGGAGCAGAGAAAAAACCCTACATAGCACAATTTAGGATGAAGCCAGACAAACCAAAAACAAACACAACAAGCTAAAATAACCTGATCGGTAACCAGCTTGACTGGTAAGCCTTCATCGGAAGGAATATGACGTCCCTCTCCCATTGGAGAGAATCGCAGCTCCCATTGGAGAGAATTTTATTCAAAATACTCTTAATAATAATAAATGTTCGATGCAATTTAATGTTGGATAATCAGTCCGACACGACATCTAAAGGAACAAGAAAAAGGGAAAAAGAATCATACATTATTACACAGAATAAAGTATCAAACTTATTACAAATTCTGAGCCCAAATAGTTGTATATGTTAAGGGGGCACATAATTTTTGCACACTTATACACACGTCAAAGATTTTAATTCAATATTACAATTTAGAGTTCTCATCATTAATTGGTGTATCACAAGAAGCTCAACTTCACAGATGTCGAAGGCACAATAAGGAAATCCAATCTCTCAGCAATAACTTCGGAGTTCTCATCCTAAGTCTTTCGTTTACTTGACTAACTTGAAATATAAGACCACGACAATCGCAATAATCAAAAGTGTGATTATAGTACCAATGATCCACTTATTGCGGTCCATCCTCCTCGATATGTTTTTTATTATTTTTCTACTCCTGCTTATGTTGTCATACACACCATGCAACTGGAAGAAAAAAGGTTGCTCATGAAAGTATAATAAGGAAAAAGTTTCATATAACCTAGATCTTAATATACACGCTTTATCAGAAGCTATCCTTGTAGATGTTAAGACATTGTAACCGTATAAGCTCAGGTACACACCCTTCATAGCATAAATCTACAATAGTGTCTATCAGCTAGTGATCCTTTACACTTTATTTGACAGAACAAAAACAATCACACACACACACACAAATAAATAAATAAATAAATACAACATACAACATACCAGTATATTCCCAAACGGGTTGGGGTCTGTGGTCAGTTGTACGCAGACCTTACCCTTGTAATTATACAAGGAGGCTGTTTCCGTAGCGACCCAATGTGCATTGCGTCGTTTGGTATTTTTTTTTTTTTTCTAGAGACTTCACTAAAAGAAGAAGCACTAGAATTTAATTGAACCATTTTGATCTAGTCCATTATTAGCAATATGCGAGAAGAATTGTCAACAATGACTCTTCTAGCTCCATTTGCAATGGACATAAAATACATAAATAAATAAATAAAAACAATTAATAAGCAGTGTTCTAAAAAATCGGCCTAGGCGGCGCCTAGGCGCTAGGCGGTGCCCGGGCGCCTTCGATTTGTACAAATCGGCTGAAAAAATCGGTCAGACAGCTAGGCGGCCCTAGGCGCTCCTAGGCGGACATGGCGGGCTCGGCGGCCCGGCGCCTAGGCGGACCTAGTCGCTCCTAGGCGGGCTCGGCGACAATTTTTTTAAATTTTTTGAATACAAATTATATTATTTTGTTCTCATGTTTTCTTTAAAAATATATTCATTTTATTATTTGGACTTAAGTGTGTCGATTTATTATAATTGAGATAATTTTGTCGATTTATTATAATTGAGATAATTTTATTTTGTAGGTAGTTAAAATAAATAAAAAAATAAGGTATTTAATATTGATTTCTAGGCCGACTAGGCGCCTGGGCGCTCTAGGCGCTGGTTGAGCGCCTAGCGACTTTTAGAACAATGTTAATAAGTAATAAAATAAAATGAAAACAGAAATAACTGAATAGTTATCTGGGGACAGTGGGGGAGTTTTACTAGACTGGAAAACTGGACAAAGACTATTATAACGAACATCAAGGCACAGCACATTATGACATTTCCAAAGAAAAATAAACTCTAAAAACGGGTAAATTGGTATGAATGAGAAAAAGAAAAGGATAGAAAAAGATACCGTGTTATTAGCATGCATGAGAGACTGTCGCTGTTGGTGCAAGTCGTGGAGAAGTGAGACGCCGAGCTCCTCGGTCTCCAGCATGACCTTTCTGCTTTCATGAATCCTGTTGCTGGACTTGTTCAATCTTTCAGTAGACATTAACAGTCTGTCCCTCTGATTAGCTGATACCTATGGGTAATAAAACCACCGCCTTAAGGTTGCATCTTGTTAGATAAAGCTGCCCCATATAGGTGTCATGTGTAAAATAGAAACGACTAATACGTCTATAGAACTCATAATTTCTACAGATTTTACTTTTCTTTTTGTTTGAACTAGACTAAACATCATTGGCCTTTTGTTACTAATTCTCAGAAAATAAATTGAAGAGGGTAGCAGACAGCTGACTGAAACTCAACGTATGAGGTTTTCACAAAATACCAATGCAAAATTCAATGCAGATGCATTCTTTCCTCTCGAAAACAAAATCAAAATAATATATCTGGATGGCTAAGTGAAATGCATAAACATAACAGAAATGCTCCACACTACAAGAGTTTATATACCGCCAATGTATCAGCCATTCCTGCCTCGAGAAGCTCATCCCGTGCAGCCTGATTCAGATTACTGGATGTAACTCGCTTTACATTACTCTTCAAGTTGTTCAGGTCGGACTTGTATTCTCTCAGCTTGGCAAGAAGCACTGCTTTGATATTTGGTTGCAAACCCCGAGCCTCAATGTCCATCTTCCTGATCTGTTAGAGTTCTCAACTAATCTCAGCAAAAGCAAAATAAATGAGAATAAGGAAAGCAGATAGTAGTTTAATAATTAGTGTATCAATACCAAAGCTTCCGCCTGATCGATGCCAGTATTGGTTTCGAAAATCTTTTGCTTCTTTTGCTCTGTAAACGAACAATAAATTTGTTATCTCACCATGTTTGTTCAACAGCAAG